GCTAGTGGCTTCCATTCAGGGGACCGATCTACCTGGATAGCCCTCTACCATAACATCTCAGGTCTTGGAATATTCCTTCACCCTGTAGGGTTGGAGCTGCTGCTGGACCACAGAGCCCTGGACCCTGCCCACTGGGTGGTGCAGCAGGTTTTCTACCTCGGGCACTACTATGCAGACTTGGCCCAGTTGGAATGGGAGTTTAAGGCTGGCCGCCTAGAAGTGGTTCAGGTCCCTCTACCCATACCAAATGGTGCTTCCTCCCTGAGGTCTCGAGTCACTCCAGACTCCCTTCTTCCCCCTCTTCAATTCTCACCCCAGGGTCCCCAGTACAATGTACAGGGAAACTCAGTGGTATCCCCCCTTTGGACATTTACCTTTGGTCATGGGGTGTTCACTGGCTTAAGACTTTTTGATGTTCGGTTTAAGGGGGAACGTGTGGCTTATGAAGTCAGTGTCCAGGAGTGCCTGACTGTTTATGGTGCTGATTCCCCCAAGACAATGATGACCCGCTACTTGGACAGCAGCTATGGGCTTGGCCAAAACAGTCGAGCCTTGGTTCGGGGGGTGGACTGCCCCTATCAAGCCACCATGATGGATATCCATGTACTAGTAGGCACAGGGGCAGTCCGGCTGCTCCGAGGGGCTGTGTGTATATTTGAAGAGGTCCAGGGATTCCCCCTTCGAAGGCACCACAATTACATTGGGGGTCATTTCTATGGTGGCTTGGCCAGCTCAGGCCTTGTGGTCAGGTCAGTGTCGTCAGTGGGCAACTATGATTACATTTGGGACTTTATATTGTACCCAAATGGGGCTCTTGAAGGGCGTGTCCATGCCACTGGCTATATCAACACAGCTTTCCTGAGTGGAGGAGCCCAGAGCCTCCTCTTTGGGAACCGTGTGGGGGAGCGAGTGCTGGGAGCAGTGCACACACATGCTTTCCACTTCAAACTGGACCTGGATGTGGCAGGTGAGTTCTTGGGCTGAGGCTTGAAGGCTGGGAGTGGGGCACAGGGCAGCAAGCACCCAGATCAGACCGCAGTATGAAAGGTTAAGAGGTCATTCTAACCAGAAGTGGGAGAGAGGATGGATTGTCTGAGTGATGCTGCAGTCACAACTGGGTATCTGGCCAAAGATGAAAAGGGTTCATTTTCCCAGCTCTCACCCTTTGACCCCCTTCCCCAGATTTGCAATTGTGAAACATGTAATGAGTGTGCCTGGCTGCCTTAACCTTGAGGGACCCTCTAGGACAGTGAATTGCCCCAGTGGGAAGTGAATGGGGCTAGAGCCAGAACTTGGCTACTTGAGTTGGGGGGTTGGGTGGGGGTCATGGACCAGAGCAGAGACAACCAGAAGTCTGAAGAGTTTACAGTAGGAGTAGGGATGCTGTGTTCTGTATACAGGGAGGGAGGGCATTAGGGTTGGGGGTAGCTTGGCAGTTAGTGCCACCTACCCCGTGTGGGGAAGGCCACCCTATCCTGTCATCACCATGGACAGACAGTCCTGTTGTGGCAAGCCTGGGATAGGCTGGCTGCAAGTCTGGAATTTGCTGTTGCTGGCAGATTTTCTGGAGGAGAGAAAACAAACTCTTCAAGGTACAGACATGGACCCAGAAAGAAGTGAAATCCGCCAGACCTCCATTTTACAGATGGGGAAACTTAGGAGGGCAGGGTCGATGGAACAGGGGTGGCTGCCCAAGTGTGATGCCTGACAGAGCCTATGTCTTGTGAAAGATTGTCTTGAGTATGAAGCCCTGGCATGTGTGCCTTGCACACTTTTCTTGTGCTTGTGGGTTTGGGTGGGGAGTGGTAGGGGGCAGGAGAACTGAGAGTAACATGTAGTCATAGATTATAATCTAACATACTTGGACTGTGACTCTCCAGTTGGAAAGTTCTCAACATCTTTGGGCATTAAAGAGCCTGCTACCAGTTACTAGGTTCCTGGTGTGTGTACCATGGTCACATTTAAGGAAACCAAATGTCCCTGACCCTTGAGGAAGAAGTGATCCAGTGTTGTATTGGCCGATGTAAGGTTTGGATACATGCAATAGGATTTAGGAAGCTCCTTGAGGATGGAAAACTGTGGAGCTTGCTTTTGAGAGACGCTAAGAGAGTAGAGTCCTCGAGCTGGGAGGAATATGCAAGGACTGTGGAAGAGAAGGGTGTTCCGGGTCACTTCAAGTGTCTTTCAGGAATGTTTCCCTCAGCGTATATGCTTGTCCATGTTTTGAGCATAGCCATAAAACAGTGTTGTGTTTGCCGTAGAAATTCAGAAGGTGAGAATCAGAAGCAAACTCTTTTTAGGGTCCACTAGGTAGACTGATGCTAATAGAGCCTTCTGTGTTTTGGCTGTCTGTAGGAATCTTTAGTGTATGTGACTGCCAAGCAATTTGTTTAAGACTGTGTCTCACTGTAGAGTAGACTGGCTTTGGACACCCTTTTTTCTTTCTTATTATTGTTTTTTAAGACAGGGTCTCACTGTGTAGCCTCGATTATCTTGGAGCACTCAATGCAGATCAGTCTGGCCTTAACTTTGCGGTCATTTCCTGCCTGTGCCTCCCAGATGCTGAATTGCAGGTATGTGCCACTGTGCTTAGCAATGCTGAGCTCTTTAAATAGATCTAGTGTGGCTGGGCGTTGGTGGCGCACACCTTTAATCCCAGCACTCGGGAGGCAGAGGCAGGCGGATCTCTGTGAGTTCGAGACCAGCCTGGTCTATAACAGCTAGTTCCAGGACAGCCTCCAAAGCCACAGGGAAACCCTGCCTCAACACCCCCCCCCCAAAATGTGACTAGAGAACTGAATTTTCAATCTATGTAGCCATGCTTGACTAATGTTACCCTATTGAGATGGGGGGTCGGAAGAAGCCAGGCCAGCATTGCCCGAGCTCATGACCCCCAGCACAGGATGCTCTCTGTTGCCTTTGGTCAGGCCAGTGATATAGGCATCAAGAGGAGACCAAGGAGCTTCCAAGCAACTTCACCTCAGTGTAGAGCTCTCCCTTTCTTCCCTCTGGCAGGTTTGAAAAACTGGGTGGTAGCTGAAGACACAGTGTTTGAGCCTGTGGCAGCCCCCTGGAGCCCAGAGCATCAGCTACAAAGCCTGCAGCTGACCAGGCGGGTCCTGAGCAGGGAGGACCTGGCCGCATTCTCCCTGGGGAGCCCCCTTCCTCGATACCTTTACCTGGCTGCCAACCAGACCAATGCCTGGGGCCACCAGCGTGGGTACCGAATCCAGATCCACAGCCCTCGTGGTGTGCATGTACCTTTGGAGAGTGACATGGAAAAGGCTCTCAGCTGGGGCAGGTGAGGAGGGACCTGGGGATGGGTGGGAGGGAAGGATTAGTGTCAGCAGCACTCACAGCCCGGGGACCTGTCTTCAGATTCAAGTGGATATGGGATGGAAAATGGCCTCAGAATGCGATCCACAGGGCTTGCAAAGCTTTACTTTTACTGACATCACCTTCCTACAATTCCTGGTCAGGTACCAGCTTGTGGTGACCCAGAGGAAGGAGGAGGAGTGCCATAGCAGCAGCATCTATCACCAGAGTGACCTGCAGACCCCGGTGGTGGCCTTTGCTGACTTCATCAACAACGAGACCCTCTTAGGGGAGGTTGGTGGCTCCAGAGATAGAGGAGAAGGCCTGCTCCTTTCCTGGCCCCTTGGCCGTCCAGCCTCTACCCGATACAGATGATCCTAGTCACGACACTTGCACCGAGCCGTTCTGTGTAGGAATATGGCTGGCAGAGGCAGAAGCCAGGCTAAGGCTGGAGGGTGGGAAACTGCATCTAAGGGGAGACTTTTGGCCTCCAAAGGCCTCCCGCTTTTCCTTCCTGCAGGATCTGGTGGCTTGGGTGACAGCCAGTTTCCTGCACATCCCCCACGCTGAGGACATCCCCAACACAGTGACCGTGGGGAACAGCGTGGGCTTCTTGCTCCGACCCTACAATTTCTTCAATGAAGATCCCTCCATTTTCTCCCCTGGCAGCATCTACTTTGAGAGGGACCAGGATGCGGGGCTCTGCAGTGTCAACCCTGTGGCCTGCACCCCACAGCTGGCAGCCTGTGTCCCCAACTTGCCCTCCTTTTCCTACGAAGGCCTATAGATCTGAGGATATGGTAAGACCCCAGGGGGCCAGGGAGTGAGAAGCATGTACCTCCTCTGTTCTGTCTCCTGTTTTATCACCTGTCTCTACCCCCCAGTCCCTGTCCCTTGTTCCTTAGAAGACAGCCTCTCTCCCCACTGAATCCCTAGGTTTCCTCTTCTGGCTTGATTCTTGCCTCCTGCCTGTGTTTTGTTTGTTCTGTTTGAGACAGGATCTTTCTATGTTGCCCTGACTGTCCTGGAACTTTCCATGTAAACCAAAGTGGCTTCAACTTGCAGAGATCTGACTGCCTCTGCCTTTGAACTTCCACCACTATTCCTGGCTTCCGCTAGTTATTTAAATGATAAGTTACTTAAAAAACATTTTTGGAATACTCAAACAAAACACAAAAATCCTACCATTCCAAAACTCGCCACGGTTCACATTATACCAGGCATTATCTTAAAAGGAATGATTGTTATGTGTAATTGATAATAAAATGGTTTGCAAAAATTTTACTTGTGCTTATTCTATTTAGCTTTTTAAAGCATGTAGAGTTCCCAGGAGAATATTAATAACTCTAGCCAAGGAAATTTAGCAACAGAAACATCCACTGGGAGGGACAGTAGATCTGGCCAAGGAATGTTTCTTGGGAAAGGCTGGAAGTGGGGGATTCCTTGGCAAAACAATACTTCACAGCAAAAGCAAAGAAAGCACCTGGCCCTTTCTAGGTGGAGTCGGGGAAGAACTTGGTCTGTGGGGTACGGGGGTCATGGGGCTACGGGGTCGACCCAGCTCCTTGTTGGTAGTGGGTCTCCACGCACAGGCTGAATCCCTCCCCCTTCTCTTAACCCAAACCCTGACCCAGAGAGCAGAGTCTGATTTGGAAGCTGGAAGACAAAGCCATGTAAGGTCTGTGCATATCACTGCAGCCAGCTCAGACCCGCCTCCCAACTGACTCCAGCTTCCCTGCTCTCCACTCAGCAAAAGCATCAGAGTACAAGAAGCTCTGCTAGCACCCACACTCCTAGCCAAGAGGAGTCCATTTCTGATAGAAGCTGCCCATCTTCAAGGAAAGATGACCCAGAGGACTACCCTGGTGCTCCTTGCTCTAGCTGTCATCACCATCTTTGCCTTGGTCTGTGTCTTGTTAGCTGGTAGGAGTGGAGATGGGGGTGGGCTGAGCCAGCCTCCCCATTGCCCCTCCATTCCTCCTACTGCCCAGCCCTGGACAAATCCTGGTCAGAGCCAGCTGTTTGCAGACCTGAGCCCTGAGGAGCTAACAGCTGTGATGAGCTTTCTGACCAAGCACCTGGGGCCAGGGCTGGTGGATCCAGGCCAGGCTCAGCCCTCGGACAACTGCGTCTTCTCAGTGGAGCTGCAGCTGCCTGCCAAGGCTGCAGCCCTGGCCTACCTGGACAGAGGGGGCCCCCCACCTGCCCGGGAGGCGCTGGCCATCATCTTCTTTGGTGCACAACCCCAGCCCAATGTGACTGAGCTGGTGGTGGGGCCCCTGCCTCGGCCGTCCTACATGCGGGATGTGACTGTGGAGCGACATGGTGGCCCCCTGCCCTATTACCGGCGTCCTGTGACAGCCAGAGAGTATCATGATATCAACCAGATGATCTTCCACAAAGAGCTGCCCCAGGTGTCTGGACTCCTCCACCATTGTTGCTTCTACAAACACCGGGGACACAACCTGCTAACAATGACCGCAGCACCCCGTGGTCTGCAATCAGGCGACCGGGCCACCTGGTTTGGTGTGTATTACAACCTCTCAGGGGCTGGGTTTTACCCACACCCTATTGGCTTGGAGCTCCTGGTGAACCACAAGGCCCTGGACCCGTCCCTCTGGACCATCCAGAAAGTATTCTATCAAGGCCGCTACTTTGACAGTCTGGCTCAGCTGGAGGATTACTTTGAGACTGGCCTGATAAATGTGGTATTGGTACCAGACAATGGCACAGGTGGGTCCTGGTCCCTAAAATCCCCAGTGCCACCAGGCCCAGCTCCTCCTTTGCAGTTCCATCCCCAGGGGCCCCGCTTCAGTGTCCAGGGATACCGAGTGGCCTCCTCACTGTGGACTTTCTCTTTTGGCCTTGGAGCTTACAATGGCCCAAGGGTCTTTGATGTTCGCTTTCAAGGGAAGAGGGTGGCCTATGAAATCAGTGTCCAGGAGGCCATAGCCCTGTACGGTGGCAATTCTCCAGCAGCAATGTTGACCTGCTACATGGATGGTAACTTTGGCATTGGAAAGTATTCTACATCCCTGACGCGCGGGGTGGACTGTCCTTACCTTGCCACCTACTTGGACTGGCATTACCTTCTGGAATCTCAGACCCCCAAGACACTACGTGATGCGTTTTGTGTGTTCGAACATAACCAGGGCCTCCCGCTACGTCGACACCACTCAGATTTCTACTCCTACTATTTTGGGGGTGTCGTGGATACAGTGCTTGTGGTTAGATCTGTGTCTACTCTGCTCAATTATGACTATGTGTGGGACATGATCTTCCACCCCAACGGGGCCATAGAAGTCAAATTCCATGCCACAGGCTACATCAGCTCAGCATTCTTCTTCGGTGCTGGTGAAAGGTTCGGGAACCGAGTTGCCGAGCACACGCTAGGCACGGTGCATACCCACAGTGCTCACTTCAAAGTGGACCTGGATGTGGCAGGTAAGACAGCCTGAGGGAGATAAGTGTCTTCCAGGAGGCGAATAAGTTACAGCCTTGCCTTGGGTTTCATGGAGGTTATTCACAAAAGAAAGATTGGGTGTTCCATGCTTCCTTTGGGGCTGGCTAGGACAGAGATGGCAGCTGGGTTTTTTTTTTTTTTTGGATCTTAGCTCCCTAGCTGGGCACAAAGCTGACAGCTTCTACACATGTGAACTCCTTGGGAAGTTTTGGGAAATGGCTAAGCTCAGGGAGCAGGCAGGGTCTGTTCCACAGAGTCCCTCCAGCTTACATGACCTCTGTTCAAGCAAGCAGCTGTTTTCCAGCTCAGCTCAGTCCGCCTGTGGGGCCGCAGCATTGGAGGTATCTGGATTTGTTGAGCAAGCCAGGCATGGAACAACCTCTGCCCTACATTTCTTCAGGAGATAGGCTCTCCTCTGCCCTCATTGCTCATCTCTCTTCCGGCACCATTCACTTCAGTGCAGGGGTATAGTGGGTACTGTGGAGAGCTCCAGGAGGCTCCTGGAATTTGTGCTAACAGAGACAGGCAAGCCTCTATGATTTTCTGAAGATCATCCTTTTCTTATCTCTTCCCTACATTGAATCATCACCTGATATTTTTTCCTGTTCTGTATAAGAAATATCTCAGAATTCTCACTGAGGCATATTGTTTCCATTCCTATTTTTTGTGAGGTGTGGGGCGGGGTGGTAGAGGGTGAGACAGGGTTTTTCTTTGTAACCCTGACTGACCTGGAACTCACTCTGTAGACCAGGCTGGCCTCGAACTCACAGAGATCCACCTACCTCTGCCTCCCGAGTGCTGGGATTAAAGGTGTGTGCCACCAACGCCCGGCTAGCCTACAGGATTTCTCTGTTAACTCAGGCTTTACTACCTAGAAGGGCCTCCAGGACATTTGGTGATATCCTTTAGGAGGAGACAGAAATAAAGTCCTGTCCTGGCCTACACTTATATTCCTGGAATTTTGACCCTGTCTCTGTCTGTCCCAGGCCTTCTCACCCTACAGGCCAGGCTATGAATTCTCTGACCTATGTGAGCCTGTGAGAGCCTGAGGGGAATGACACAGTTTATTCAGTTTATTCAGCTCTGTCCTCAGGAATAAGCACAGGCCACGCCACTAAATGAGGAGAGAGAGAGAGAGAGAGAGAGAGAGAGAGAGAGAGAGAGAGAGAGAGAGAGAGAGAGAGAGAGAGAGAGAGAGAGAGAGGCAGGCTCATCTGTGAGTTCAAGGTCTACAGAGAGAGTTCCAGGACAGCCAGGGCTATCACACAGAAAAAACTTGTCTCAAAAAAACAAAACCCGAACAACAAACAAAAGATTTTTTTTTGCTTTTCCTTATATGCCTAAGGGTATGTGCACTTGAGTTGTGCATGCCACTGGAAGCCAGAGGCGTTGGATCCCACTGCAGCCACTTGTGAGTGCCTCAGTACGGATGCTGGGAAACAAACACCAGTTCTGTGGAACAGAACTGTGCACTCTTAACTGCTAAGCCATACCTCCAATGCCTGAATATTTCAATTTATACATTAATAGCTTTTCCTGAAGAACTGGGTAGATGTTGGGACAGGAGGGGAACCAAAGAACCTTGTCAATCCTAGGCTGCTCTTTGGTTCCCACTCTGAAGCCAGATGGATGCCAGAAATGTCCAGAATGGTCTAATGACTAGTCCTTACACACTTTACACAGGGCTGAAGAACTGGGCCTGGGCAGAGGACATGGCTTTTGTCCCCACAAATATACCTTGGCGTCCTGATTATCAGATACAGAGGCTGCAGGTGACTCGGAAGCTGCTGGAGACAGAGGATGAGGCTGCCTTCCCCCTGGGCGGTGCCACCCCACGCTACCTGTACCTGGCCAGTAACCACAGCAACAAGTGGGGTCATAGGCGAGGCTACCGCATCCAGATATTCAGCTTTGCTGGGGAACCACTGCCCCAGAAAAGCCCCATAGAGAAAGCCTTCAGTTGGGGGAGGTGAGTGGCAGGTGATCATAGATGGCTGGTGGGGGTGCACCCTGGGACGCAGCTCTGGGCACAAGGGGTGTGGGTAGGGGTGTCATTTCCCCCGTGGAGGACTAAAGACAGGGAAGAACTCTTTTCTGGACAGGGTGGGCTGTACCGTGAAACAGCGGAGGTGTGACATGACCCTCCAGTGTGGTATCAGGGATTTCACAGCCTGGTGTTGCTGTGTGAGTCCATACGGAAGCTGGTCAGAGTGCAGGGCTTGCTTCCATTATAAATGGACATCATGATGAGCTCAGTGGCCATGGAGACCCAAGCAGTGTCCTTCTAGGTACCACTTTGCTGTAACCCGGAGGAAGGAGGAGGAGCCTAGCAGCACTAGCATCTTCAACCAGAATGACCCATGGACCCCCACTGTGGATTTCGCTGACTTCATCAGCAATGAGACCATTGCTGGGGAGGTGAGCTGATGGGGTAAACAGAGATAGGGTACGAGGAGGAGCTTCACCTTCTCACGGGGCTTCCTGGAAAGCGTCTCAACTCCTCAGAAGAGGAGCTGACTCTTGCCTCTTACAGTGGATGTCATCCCTGCCTCTAGAGCGGTGGTTCTCTCAACCTTCCTGTTGCGGAGTTTTCTTGTCAGTCAAGTCCTGCCGCCCCTCTCAGCCCCTAATAAGTGCACAGAGACATATATTAATTTATAAACTGTTGGCCAATATCTTGCGGAGTTTTCTTGTCAGTCAAGTCCTGCCGCCCCTCTCAGCCCCTAATAAGTGCACAGAGACATATATTAATTTATAAACTGTTGGCCAATATCTTGGGCTTCTTATTGGCTAGCTCTGTCTTAATTATTAACCCATTTCTATTAATCCAAGTATTTATCTTACCGGAGAAGTGTCAAGTGTCTGGACCTGTTAATCCTTTAGCGGCCTACATGGTGTCTGTTTCTGGTGCTTCTCTGCCTACCTTTTCCAGAATTCTCCTCATCTTCTAGTCCCGCCCATCTCCCTGCCTCTATTGGCTACAGTGTTTTATTCATGAACCAATAAGAGAAACATATATACAGAAGGACATCCTCATCACATTCCTAATGCTTTACTACAGTTCCACATGTTGTGTGACCCCCAACTATAAAATTATTTCATCACTACCTCATAACTGTAATTTTTCCCACTGTTATGTATAATGTAAATATCTAATTTGAAGGATATCTGATGTGACCTCTCCAAAGGGGTCATGACCACAGCTCCCATCCCTGCCGTGAGGAGTGCATTCTACACATGTCAACCTGTCCCTACCTCGTAAGGTCTGAAGGTCCCTGTTCCACAATTCTTCCCTGAGCCACACTTTGGGGGCTCTTAGGGAATTAGGAAAGAGAAGCAGAAGTAGCCTACAGTGACGCCCCTGGGGCGAGTAGGCAAAAGGCATTGTGATGGGGAACGCCAGAGATGGAGGTGCAAGCCAGTCTCAGAGAGGCAGCCGTGGTTCCCAAAATGGAATGAGCTTTTCGTGTTTTGACTTCTGGGCCATCCCAAGGAGACACTGTTTTAAGATTCAAGATATATGGCTGGTGAGCAGGCCGCTGCAAAGGGAGGCTGTGTCTAGCCAACCTAACCATCCTCTGTTTTTCTCTTCCTCTAGGACTTGGTAGCCTGGGTGACAGCCGGTTTTTTGCACATCCCACATGCAGAAGACATTCCCAACACGGTGACTGTGGCTAATGGGGTGGGTTTCTTCCTCCGACCTTACAACTTTTTTGATGAGGACCCCTCCTTCTACTCTGCTGATTCCATCTATTTCCAGGAGGGCCAGGATGCCAGTGCCTGTGAGGTCAACCCCCTGGCTTGCCTGTCCCAGACTGCCTCCTGTGCCCCTGACCTCCCTGGCTTCTCTCATGCAGGCTTTACTTACAATTAAGTGTCCCCTGGATGGGCAGTCTAGCCAAGGTCCCTGGGGTAAGGGCCGGGGAGTAGAGCGACAGCTGGTCATGCTGCCCTCTCTGTAACCCTCTATCTTCCTGGAGCAACCTGAGCCCTTGATGCCTGACGCACAGGGACACTGGGCTTTGTTCATCTTGGCCGTACTGAGTTCCTGCCTTGGGAGAAGAGTAGCCTGTCTAGGAACCTGGAGTGAAGGCTAAGGGTTTTTTCCAGATGGTTCCTTTTTTTTTAATCTTCTTTGGATTTTATTAAAATATTTTTATAGTCATTTTGAGGGCTCAGAAATAAGGATAATTCTCTAGCGACTCCAAAGCAGAGTCTCTCTGAGTCTTGAACATCCACATTGACCTGGAGGATTCCTGCACTCTCTTCTTCACTTAAAGCCTCTTTTCTCTCCTTCCTCTTTCTTGCCCTCCCCTCCTGGAGTGTCCTGCTTGTTGTTTGCAGTCTAGAATTTCCCACTCAGTCCAAAAGGGATGTCCATTCTTTGTGTTCTCTTGGCCCTCATTTCTTAACTGCAGTCCATTCTCCCGGTCCCGAGTCTGTGGACGTCTCATGGATGTAATGGGATGTCTTATTGGGAAGGACCAAGCTTGTCTATCCCCTAACATCTATCACATGTCAAGAGTGGGAGTTGTCCCTGCTACAGTTCTGCTTTGCACTCTCTACAAGAAGACAGCAGGTGGCTTGGAGTTGCTGTGATTATAACACATGGTCATTTTATTTCGACTCTGAGTGCCCTGCAGTAGCCAGTTTGGGACAGTGGAGGAGGAAGAGTGTGAGACGCATCAAGGGTGAGGAAGGGACAAGGGCTGTCCAATCAGAAGCAGGCATGCAAACAAGCATGGTAGAGGGCAATGGCCTGGTGGGAACTGCTTCAGGGTTTCCTATCACTGGTTGGTTTTCCTGAGATCTGAACAGGGAACAGTACAAAGTAACGCCAAGTGATTGGAAACAGATCTATCATTCCTGAGCAGAGTGACCAGGCCTGGTCCATTGTGATACAGTTTTGCAGTGCAATCCGACTAAGCTAAAAATTGTCTTATGTTATTACATGTTGCTAGGAAGTAACCTTCAAGGGGAAAGAGCATGTAGAAACGTTTATAGTCCACTCCCTGCTTGCGTTTTTAAAGGGAGGAGATTATAGAAGGATGTGAGAGTGCACGGCTGTAATCCCAGACTCCGGGTGGGGGCCTTGACTGAGCTACACAGTGAGACCTTATCTCACAAAACCAAGGGCTAGAAATGTGACTCTGGTAGAATAACCAAGGCGCAGTTTTACTATCTATGCATATATGTGTGTATTTGCCCATCATGTACAAGGTATTGGGTTGAATTCTCAGCACCATTACAAAGGAAAGAAAGGCACTGGAGAGAGAGCTCAGTGGTTAAGAGTGCACACACTGCTCTTGCAGGGGACCCAAGTTCAATTCCCAGTGTCCACAGTAAGTGCTCACAACTACCTGTAACTCCAGCTCCAGCAGGTACAATGTCCTTTTCATGGACACCTATACATATGCACATACTCCCACCACAGATGCATATATATATATACATACATATATAAATAAAAAGACAAGAAAATTAAAAAATGAGAATGTAAGTGCATATTTGTCTATTTCTGCACTGATTACCTCTGGGAAGGAAGATGCGTGAGTGTGGAAATTGGGTACTGCATGTCACTCTGAATATCCTGAATGTTAAACCATGTGAATATATTGCTTCATTAAAATAAGTGGCTCCAAGCTGGGTGGTGGCATCACCGTTAATCCCAGCACTCAGGAGGTAGAGGCAGGTGGATCTCTGTGAGTTCAAGGCCAGCCTGGCCTACTGAGCGAGTTCCAGGACAGCCTCCAATGCTACAGAGAAACAATGTCTCAAAAAATAAAATAAAATAAGTGGGTCTAAACATGAATTGTCCTTTTTCTTTTCTTTTTTTTAAAATTATTTTATTTTTTTAAAGATTTATTTATTTATTACATATACATGCCAGAAGAGGGCACCAGATTGAGTTATAGATGGTTGTGAGCCACCATGTGGTTGCTGGGAATTGAACTCAGGACCTCTGGTAGAGCAGTCAGTGCGCTTAACCTCTGAGCCATTTCTCCAGCCCGTCCTTTTTCTTTTCTACCTCTTTCTTCTTCCTCCTCTCTCTCTCTCTCTCTCCCTCCCTCCCTCTCCCTCTCCCCCCCTCTCTCTCTCCACCCCACGCCTGCTGCGCAGCCTGTGTCCGAGAATGTGCTGAGGGTGTCGGGATTGGTGACACAGAGACCAGTCGGTGGCTTCCAGAAGGCTCCTCAAGAAGGCTCTCCTTTATTCCTACCCTGGCTGGTTATTAAATACCCTGACACCAGAGGCAGTGGTGGGTGGGTCAGAAAGAGGTGGTTAGTCTTTGGAAAGTTCAAGGTCAGGGCGTTTCCGGTGGGCCAGCCCTTATCAGGAACTTATTGTTCTGGGCAATGTATTGTTTCTAGTAAACATGTTTTTAGTAAACATTGTCTTACAGCTATCTGCTCCCAGGCTGATGGGGAAGTGGGTCTCCGGCCAAGGTCTGTTGTTCCCACACTTTCTTTCCCTTTAAAAAAAAAAATTGCTGTGTGTGGTGGGAGAAAGGATAGCCCAAGTTCCTGAGTCCTAAAGAAGTAGACAGCCTGTGGTACAGCCCTTGCCTTGTCTTTCTTTTTTTTTTTTTAATTATAGATTTCATCATGACCTTTTTTTTTTTTAAGATTTATTTATTTATTATGTATACAGTGTTCTGCCTGCATGCCAGAAGAGGTCGCCAGATCTCATTACGGATGGTTCTGAGCCACCATGTGGTTGCTGGGAATTGAACTCAGGACCTCTGAAGGAAGAGCCAGTGCTCTTAACCTCTGAGCCATCTCTCCAGCACCTGCCTTGTCTTTCTTATATGGATTCTGAGGAAATGTTAAACTTCAGTCAATAGCTGAAGCTTCCATATCTCTCAGAGGAGGAAATAAAGAGAAGCAGTGGAAATGGAGGCTTCTACTTGGCCAGATCCCAGGCTGGAGCAGGAGGTGAAGTACTGGGAACAGTTTTGGGTACTGCTCAGTTTCTGAACAGAGAGAAGACATGTTCAAGAGCTCAGACACCACGGAAACTTTCCCCTCCTTCTCCATCTGCCCCAATCTTCCATTCACCCATAGGTGGATGTGGGATGATGGATGGGAAAAGAAGGAATCAGCGGGTGGAGAGAAAACAGATTCCAAAGAACAGGGAGTTAGAAGTCAGTAAGGAGCTGCTGATGGAAGTTTCTGTGTGTGTGTGTGTGTGTGTGTGTGTGTGTGTGTCCCGTCCCATCCCGTCCCCGAGGTCCCGCAGCCATTTAGTCCCAGTGCCTGGCCTCATTGATAACCCGGCCTGGGGTGGGTAGAGATGGATGAGACACAAGCAGATCATGTGATGACATGGAGGCCTATGGGAGGCGTGGTCAGTTGTGAGCTCTGACTTCATTACTCCCCATTCTTCCAACCCAAAGAATTCAATTCTCCTTGAAGTGCATATCTTGTGTTCCCATCTGTGCTGGCTAGTTTTATGTCAACTTGATGCCAGCTAGGATCACAGGAGACTCGAGAAAATGCCTCCATAAGATCCAGTTGTAGGCAAGCCTGTGGGGATTTTCATTTTTCTCTTCTTTTTGGCCTGTTTTTATTTGTTTGTTTGGTTGGTTGGTTGGTTTTTGTTTTTGCTTTTTGAGATAGGATTACTTTATGTAGTCTTGACTGTCCTAGAACTATCTCTGTAGACCATGCTGGCCTTGAACTCACAAAGATCTGCCTGCCTCTGCCTCCCAATTGTTAGTATTAAAAGCATATGCCTCCACCACCTGGCTTAATCTGTGGAGCATTTTCTTAATTAGTGATTGATGGAGGAAGGCCCAGCCTATGGTGGGTGGTGCTGCCCCTGGGCTGGTGGTGCTGGGTTCTATAAGAAAGCAGGCTGAGGCCGGGCGGTGGTGGTGCATGCCTTTAATCCCAACACTCGGGAGGCAGAGGCAGGCAGATCTCTGTGAGTTCGAGGCCAGGCTGGACTGACAGCCTCCAAAACAATACAGAGAAACCCTGTCTCGTAAAAAAAAAACCAAAAAAAAAGAAAGAAAGCAAGTTGAGCAAGTCTTGTGGGGCAAGCCAGTAACCAGCACACCTCCACGCAACCCTCCACGGTCTCTCCTGCTTGAGTTTCTGTCCTGACTTCCTTTAATGATAGAAATGTGAGCCAAATAAACTCTTTCCTCCCCAGGTTGTTTTGGGCCATGGAATTTCATCCCTGCAACGATGTCCCTAACTAAGACAACACCCTTTATGGCCCCTTCTCAAAGTCACTGGCAGCATCAGTGCTAGAGGAAAGGAATGAAAGGGATGCTACCTGCACCATTTAGTTCACTTGAAACTCATTTCCCTGATGCCCATGTCTAGACCAAAGTGTGTGTGTGTGTGTGTGTGTGTGTGTGTGTGACTGAGCAGACAGTTCTATCTGAAAATGTGACTGGTGTGTATGTCTCACCACCTTCCCAAGTCAACCAGTGGTGGGAGCAGAGAGTGGACATCTAGATCATTAGAACCGCCGGGCGGTGGTGGCGCACGCCTTTAATCCCAGCACTCGGGAGGCAGAGGCAGGCGGATCTCTGTGAGTTCGAGGCCGGGCTGGACCGATAGCCTCCCAAACAATACAGAGAAACCCTGTCTTGTAAAAACCAAAAAAAAAAAAAAAAAAGATCATTAGAACCTCAGTCCAGCTCAAGTCGGGAGGGCTGCAATGGGCCGTTAGCCCCCTGCCTTATCTAGTCTCTCTTATGGACCACTGACATTGTTGACAGCATTGGCCTTAGATTTATCAGATGGTAAGGGTAGTGAGTAGCAAGCGAAGGTTGACATCCTGGCAGTTTGAAGGAACTGGTGCCACCAACATTCAGACCGGAACAAGGAGACCCATGAGACTGAATGCAGAGCATGACTAGGCCTTCTCCAGAATGTAGACTCAGACAACCTCTATGAGGAATGTATTGGCTGCCTCTCCTCTAGGAGGCCTCCAAGTTCAGTTCCAGACTCCAGGTACCTGGAGGAACTGTTTCTTCCAGTAAAGGTTTAGAGAAATCAGGCATAGTAGTGTGGGCCTGTAATCCCAGCACCCAGAAGTCTGTGGTAGACGGATAAGAGTTCAGGGCCAGACAAAGCTACTACTATAGTTTCAATATATGATGTCTCCCATAGACTCATGATTTGTGCACTGTCTTAGTGTCAGTTTCTATTGCTGTGGAGAGACACCATGACCATGGTAACTCTTATAAAGAAAACATTTAATTGGGGTGACTTACTTATAGTTTCAGAGGTTCAGTCCATGGTCGTCATGACAGGGAGCATGGCAGCATTCAGATAGACATGGTGCTGGAGTAGTAACTGCGAGTCCTACATCTTGCAGGCAACAGGAAATGGTTTGAGCATAGAAGTGTCCTGAGCATAGAAAACCTCAAATTCCACCTCCACAGTGACACGTCCTCCAACAAGGGAATACTCACTACAACAAAGCCACAGCTCCTAATAGTGCACTTCCTATGATTATTGAGCCAATTACATTCAAACCACCACAGGTACTTAGCACTTTGAGCCCATAGATACATGGTTTGAGTTCCTAAGATAGTGGCCTTATTTGGGTAGGCTCTAGACACTTAGAACACCGTACCAACCTGGAGGAAGTAGGCTGCTGGGCGATGCCTTGTGTTATCTCTGGTTGCTTTCTGTCTTGCTCTCTGTGCATCCTGGTCCACCATGATGTGAGCCTCGGTGCTCTACCTCAACACCCTCACCACGAGAGACAGAATCAGGCTCATTCCTGTATTTATTACTGCATTAGTAACAATTGAGTGTCTGCTGTGTGGAAAGCACTGTGCTAAGTACCAGGAGGGTCACAGCAAACAATACACAGTATACCAGTTATTTATTACCTAGAAGGAATGCATAAATAATAGACCAGTGTGATAATGGGCCTGGGGTGCTGTGAGAACATGAAAGGGAACCTTGCCAGTTTGGGGGAGCTGCATGGAAAATTTCACCTGGAGGAGCTGATGTGTCTGAGGGGCAAAGCGGATGTCTACAGAGGAGGAGTTGTTCTGGCAAAGAGAACATCGTGTGCACAGGAACAGGAGCAAGGGAGCGGCAAATGGAAAGGACTGAAGGCGTCATTGACTTGACACACAAACACACAGGTATTCAACTATAACCTCTCCTTTTTCACTGTCCCCAAGATGGTATGTTAATGTTAATATGACAACATGAAATCTAGTATAGCTTTAAAAGTTCCATGGTATTTACAAATTCAAATACTTTAAAAATTCTGTCTCTTTAAAACATTCAAAATCTCTTTTAAAGTTCCAGGCCTCCCTAAAATATCCTAAGTCTCTATAAAATTTCAGTGTTTAACTATGGACTCCCATAAAATGAGAAATATGTTAAATATTTTCTTACTCTAAGGAGGAGGAACAAGGACACAGTCACAATCTCAACAAAGAAAAACTAAACCCCAACAGCATAAATAACTCAGTGTCCAATGTCTAGGATCTACTCACAGTCTCCTGGGC